TGACAAGAAACATTTGCAGTTTCACAACACCTCGCAGTTGAGGAGCTGGAATTACTTTTTCCAAGGGGCTAAACACACCTCTGATGTTACTCAGACTTACTGGATTAAGCGTAGCCTGTACATTTGTCAACAACTATCTTGGCTCTTCCTCAAACTCATCAATAACCTTTTATTAAAGATTTTTTTTATTATTAAAGAATTACAAAAACTTTGTTTTACATCCTCAGCAATGAACTGGCCAGAAGGAAGGAGGGCTTGGTGCACTCTGGGCTGGGGGCACAGAATAACCAGGAAGAGCCTGTAATCACTTACAGGAACTCCAGCTCTCCACACAATTTCAATAGACCGTTTAACAAAATGTAGAGGCTTTTTTTTTTTCTTTTGCTTTTATTCCCCGTCTTCCTCTCTCTAGCTACAGAAAACTGAAAAATTGTACAAGCAGATGGATTAGTCTATAGATGAATCCAACCTGGCTCAAAAAAAGAAAAATCTTAAAAAATATACATAAGGGCTTTTATGGGAAATTCAACTGTAGAAGAAAACTACCAAAAAGGTGTTTGCAGCCACATTTTCTCAAAACCTGAAACACCCTCTCAACTTCCCTCTTCATTGTCAGGTATCTTGTTAAAAATATTAAGACCGTCAATCATTTTTCCACTCACCCAACCACACAAGTAAGTAGTAATTCCTATTACGAAAACCCTCAATGGCATTTCCCAAACTGGGGAGCATTTACTAAGCCAGCAGCCTAAGTGGCGACGCACCCTTGCCGACAAGCACTAACGAGGAGTGAGAGGTGCAATTGCGGGAGTGACCTAAGTCATGACAAAGAATGGCACTTCCCAAAGATTAGAAAATAGTGATATTAAATTCAGCGAATCTGGTTTTCCAGCTCAATACAAACAGCCCAGAACTCAACGAGGCACAATTTACCTCCTCCTGCCCCTTCAACAGGAGACAAACCGGGCCTTAGACCCATGTAATTTAGTACTATGTGGCCCAGCTCACGTGGTTTTCCAGTACGACTTCTAGCTAGGGGAGGGATTTGAAGACAAAAATTACAGATCTGAAGCCTACACCCACATCCAGTTCAAAAGACCAGAAAAGCAATGCTTGGAGTTTGCGACTCTGCTGCCCAGTCCTCAGCACGGTTCAAACAGGAGATATTGGGGATGGGGAGGTGAGAAATTAATCTCTGGGGCAGAATTACGACACTCAAATCCCAACAGATGCCTTTAGGACAAGGAGCTGAGATCCTGGCTAAGTGAAAGCAAGCGGGACCAGCTCGCACACAGACACAAGCACCAGATTACTATTTACACCAGTAAACAAGTACTCATTTAAGAGCCATCACCAGTTATTTGCAACGGTGATCAAGAAAATAAACCCATCCATTTCTTCCGTTCTCCTAGCTATGGACTGAGTTTGTGATTAATGCAGTGAGCAAAAGGATGAAATTGCCTGAAGCTGTTGGTCCTTTTCATCCCCCCCAGCAGGAGCAGAGAACCTCAGCCACCACCTCTCTCCCCAGGGATCTCCTTGTCCCAGTCCTCGTGCCACGCTCCTTTAGGTACGTAACCGGCTGCCTTCAGCTACAGGATGGTTTTTGGCACCTTAATGTGATAAGGAGTAGACTCAGTCTTCACCAGCATCTGTCTGGGTACAGAAATATCCCATACAAACATCACGTTTGTAAATACAGTACCCTCACCCCAAGAAAATAATTGAAACCCCATTAGTCTATATGCTCAGACAGCTGACTGGGGAGGTTCTCCCTGCCTCGGGCTCCAACGTCTGCACAAAACGCTATTAATAAATATAAAAGCTCGAAAATGAATCTAAGGGAAATACAAACAGGCAGATTAAGGCCCAGTGTCCAGAGAAGACTAGGGCAACTCACGAACCCGCCCAAACTGACATTAATCAGGTCGTCTGGGCTCCGCAAAGACGTATTCTTCTTAGTCTAGACTTCTAATCCGTCAGTGGGAAAAGACATCTAATATTATTTCTGTCCTTTTCATCGACACCGTAAGAACACGTCCGACTGTCTGAGCAAGTCACACGCTCAACACGAACAAAAACAGACACGGCGGGGTTGGATGTGCTCGAGTGGGGCAGCTAGGAAAAACACAGCGAGGCAGCGATGAACTTTTAACTTGGGTTTGGCTACAAATAATTCATCGGCGGCAAGCGCTGCAGCACACCCGCTCTCATCTGTGCACGGTGCTGTACCGTGAACAAATGCTTCCCGATCTGTTCTTACGCACAGCTAAGACACTCCTTCTCTCCCCTTCCTCAGTCCACACTAATAGTCGCTTTATATAGAAGGGAAAACAAAACAAAGCCCAGACTGGACTCCTACCAAGCACATTTTAAAATCTTCAGCACATATGCTGACTGGGCCTTCAATTTTAAGCAGCAGGACTTAACCTATTGTTTGATTTTAAGGGACTTTGCATGTTCGCAATTACTGGAGCTACTTTTGTCAAACTACATTTTAATCTAATAAACAGAATAAATTAAGTATGAGTTGAAATACTGAATAACTCATTGTCCCCCTTGAGGCCTACATCACATACTATATTTATATTTGTCTGTACAGTGGAAGGACATGCACAGACTTGTTTGTGAGCCTCAAGTCCAGTAGCGCAGTAGCTGCTATATTTTGCTTCACTATTTTCATTGACAATGCATTTTGAAGACTAAAACCTTTTTTTAAAGAAACAAAACAAAACTAAAAATATCCCTTCGGTGCACACAAACGCCTGTGAGAAAAGAGGCAAAAATAAATCCAGACGAGTGCTTATCTAGGTGTGCTAAATCCTTGGGGAAGGAAACGAGGACTCCGGCATGCCAACTGGCCAGCACACACCACTGGCACGGCACAGGCAGGAGGGGAGGAAGAGAAGGGAAAGCAGAAAAGAGGAAGCTCTTCTGCACGTTGCACCTAGCTCTGGTAGCAGCAGAGCTCTGCCATTTTCACAAGCCCTCCCCACAGTCTCTCACACTGTGTATTCATTACCAGCACATGGCTCCTACCGAACAGGACAACAGATCCTGGACTGCAACTGCCGAAGAGGCGACTTGCCACTCTTTTCTCTGGGTGCAGGATGCACGACTGTCCCTGGCAATGCTCCTCAGCCTTGCTCCTCAAAAACAACAACTGCATCTACACTACAACGCGAATTGACACAGAACTCGAGCTCCAAACGAGGTCTGGCTGACGGCAATACAGAAACAGGGAAACACACACAACTCGGAGCAGTCACAGACAAAAGCTCTGGAGATGCCAGAGAACAGGTTATGTTGCAGGAATGACCTGATCTCCAAATACTGCATTTCCGCAGCAAAACCTGCGAGGAACTGACACTGAAAGTGGCAGGGAAGTTCCAGCCCCATGCAGAGAGCTGTCAGGTAGCCAGGGAGGAAAGGTCACGCTCATGGGAGGAATGTCTGTGAAACTACCCCAGGAGACAGGGCTGCAAGGTGCTGGCAAAACCTCTGCTGGTCACAGGCACTTGGCACCAGGCGAGCCACTCACATCGGGTAAAACTCTGCATTCCTTTGTACCGAACAGGCAGGCAGGCCATTCATCAAGTGTACCTGAATCAAATAAGCAATCTTCATTTAAAATGCTAACGTATGCGCTCTTTTTCCTTGAAAAGAAAGCCCAGAATAAAAGGGGAGGTTTTGCTTAGTAGCCATTTTGTCTTCAACTTGGACATGATACCTAATCTGAATGTAATGTAAACATGCTCTCTAAGGCTCATTTCCAAACAGCACGTTCATGGAAAGAGAAGAAAATCTAAAAAGGACGTCACAAAATATCGTAATAAATTAGGACAGTGGGAAGATTTCATGATCTAAACAGACAGGAAATTCTGCAGTGTGTATTTCTTCTCTAGGTCATGTTGCAGAAAAAAACAAAACAAAAGGTAGCAAGTGTTGATTAAGGACGGATGAATTACTGCTTACTGTTTCAATTCTAAAAAAAAAAAACAACCACCAAACAATAGACACAATTTCAGTATGCCATTCAGTAAAATAACCTGAAAGGAAAATTATATTTGGATTTTTTTTCTTTGACAGCCACACGGATTCAAAACATAAACGCTAACTATAGCATCAATTGAGATGCACGCTACATCAGTCTGTTTTTATTAGGATGAGCACACGTATTTAGCCATATTATATACACGGTGCGTATATATGGAAAGTATGATCTATGATGAGTAACCTATATTTACAATTCCCCAGTTTCACAATGCTGTATCAGCCCCCTCAGCCAAAAGCAGCTTTTAAAAGCACACAGAAAATGTAAATACTGCAGGTGGTAGCCTCTTGTGGATTGGGGCTGGGGGGGAATGACAAAATATTTCCTCTGCAGAGCAAGTTCAACTCAATTCATCTCTTCACCCCAAACGCATGCAAAATTCATATTTTTAAGTGAAACGCTGGTTTTCTGTGAGTTTTTATTTAACTGGGGGGTGGGAGGGACGGGTTACCGGGCAGTAACGTGCAAGCCACCGTGACAAGTTTCGGCCAAAACTGCGTTTTGTTCGCCAGCCTGGAAAAACTCCGCGAGCAGGGGTGCACGAGGAGGCTGGAAAAATGCCCTGGTGCTGCGAGGCTCTGCAGCGAGGAATGCAGCACCGCGCCGCGCCGGGGGGCGAGCCCCAAAACCCGAGCGGTGGCCGCGCAGGCAGCGCTGCGCCAGGCGCCGCCTCAGCCAAACGCCTTCAGCAGGTGAGCTCAGAGCCGCCCCGGCAGCCCCCCCGCCCCAACCCCTCAGCGCACGGGGCCGTCCGTGGGGGGGTGGGGGGCAGGAATCAGAGAAATAAACAACACCAAAACGGAACGAGGCGCGGGGCTGGCAGCCGGGCAGGGGCACACCTGTGTTTTTGGGGGGGGGGGAGCACAAAGCGGCCGCGCCCCCCCCCCCTTCCCCTTCCCTTCCCCTCCCCTCACCCCAACGCGGCGCCCCCCGGCCCTTCCCTTACCAGATGGAGCTGCGGATCTTGTGCTGCAGCGCGCTGGCCTCGCCGCCCTGCAGCCCGGGCACCAGGGCCGGCAGGGCCCCGGGGGGCGCGGGGGTGCCGGGCGGCCGCCGCGGGGGCTGCCCCTCCGCCTGCTGCTCCTCCGCCATGGGGGCGAGGCGGCGGCGGCGGGGGCCGGGGGGGGCCGGGCCGGGCGGGCGGGGTGGCGGCGCGGCGCTGCCCGCTGCGGGCACTAGGCCTCTGCCGCAGCCCTCGCGTCAGTCGCCTTCCCCCGCCGCCCGGGGGACATCACGGGCGGGGAGCCGAGCCGCGTCCCGCCGCTACGCCGCAGGATGGCGAGCCCGGCCCGCGGCACGGCGCATGGCGGCCCGGCCTCCTCCTCCTCCACCTCCTCCTCCTCCTCCTCCTGCTGCTGCCGTTCCTCCTCCCGCTGCCGCTCGGCGCAGGGTGCCCGGGCGCTTCCCCCGCCCCGCAGCACCTGGCCCGGCCCGCCCCGCGCCGCCGCCGCCGCTCCTCGCCCCGCGGCCGCCCTGCCCGGCCGGGCGCGCAGTGCGCAGGCTCGGCGCTGCCTCAGCGGGCGGGCCGCGGCTGGGGGGGGCTGGGACGGGGACGGGGACGGGGCTCGGGGGGCACCGGGGGAGCCCCGGCCCCGCTGCCGTCCCCAGGGAGCGCAGGACGGGTGCGGGTGCTCGGCCCGGGGCTGCGGGGTGGGTGCTCGCGCTCCCTGCCCCTGAGGGTGAGCGAGTGAGTGCCCGGCTCACGCCGGTCCCAGAAATGCAGGCCTGAACGCAACCCATAAAGCGCTGCCTACATTGTTCAATTTAGGAGGTCGGTATTTGAAAATGACGGTGTCACCGACCAAAGCAAGTGTTTCAAAAAGTGCATCTCCGCTTCCATTCCCACTGCTGCGAAGTAAGGTCACTAACGGCTGTGCCAAGGATGGTGATTTTCTGCTCCTCGTAAAACCTCTCATCAGAATTACGAAAACGACTTTCTCTTGTTCCTCCCTTCTACTAAAAGCTTTTTTTTTTTTTTTAACTTTAATTGGAAATTTCTGAAGGGCATCCAAGAAGAGAAGAAAGGTAAAAATTGTAATCAGAAGTAAACAAAAAGGCAATCACTTCAAAATCCCTACCTATTATGCTTTTTGCAAGGAAAACTACATCAACACACTTGTAAGCTGGTAAAATGAAACAAAGGTGTTCCTGGTGATGTTTTCTAGTTTGGTTCCCACTTAATACAAATTGTATCAACAGGGTCAGGGTTGCCTCTGTTGAGATCTTTTGTTTGACCCCATGAAATCTGAGCCAGAGCTTAACCTACTTGGATCCCAGCCGTAAAAAGATTCGAGCAAATGCATATCTCCCCTTAATTGAAATCGATGGGCCTACACATCAGAATAAGGTTCAACAGATGTGCATCATGTTTGCAGGACCATACACTATTACAATAAACTGAAAAAATATACGTAATTTCAGTGTTGCTTTCAGCCTAAACCAACAGTTGGAAGACATATTTATTATTTAGTTCCTTGAGAATTTAGTTCCCAGCAACGTCAAATTGTGATCATACTTATTTATAGCTGTATTGGCGTCAGATGACCAAAAAAGAAATTAGTCACATCTACTCTGTAAAATCTGCTGCGCTGGACACACACAGGCACCACAGCACCACCACTGCCACCCTGTAATCACACCTGGTGTTTTAGGGCAGAATGTGCCAAATTAATTAAGTGGGCCAGACTCCCAGCTTGCATTTTTGTGGTGGAAGTGGTCACTAGGCTTCAAAAGCTACGTCTGTACTCCTGTATCTCACCATCAGTTCACCTTTTTTTTTTTAAATACTTTTTCCTGTGCTTTTTTCATGTGAAGCCTTTCAGCTATAAGTCCATTTCTGTTGCTTGCTGGGTTTGAGTAGTTCTGATGGAACACGCAGAGGCCCCAAATAAAATTGGGTGTAAAGAAAATACTTCCTTTTTAGACCTAGCAGTAAAGAAAAATGTAACAGTTTTTTTCAGCCAGATCTTGAAAGAAAGGGGGCATGCTCCAGCTCCAGCAAGGTCACCAGGTGGCTGGTGGCATGACCAGAGTGACTGCACAGCACACACTGGGCAGGAGAGGTGCCCCAGAGAGCTGCCCAGGGCACATGGCCACACCAAACTGCCCCCCTGTGCTACCTGAGCATAAACTATCTTTCAGGTTGTTTGGCCTGCTTGGAGCCTCCCCCGTGACTGATTCAGCTGATGGGAGTTACTGCTGCTAAAGATTTAAAGGACAAAATCCAGAGAGGTCTGTTATAGAATAGAATAGCATCAGCACAGAGGGCTGTGCTCTGCTCTTCAAAAGCTTTTTTTTTATGTTAGGAATAACTCTACTGCAGTGTTTTTCTCACATTCCCATAAAGCACAAGGTTTGCCCCAGGTTTTTTATACACCTGTATTAACACTGGATGAGGGCTTCTTCCCTTTATGTATTAGGTAGGCCAATAAATGGAGGCCACTTAGCTGGCTCCTGCACAACCAGCTGAACTTGCCTTGTATTTCATACGGCCTTTGTACCTCTGCAAAATGCATGAAAGAAAAATGGCAGCTTCTTATATGCAGTTTACATGGTAATATACAACTAAAACAAAGACGAAATAGATCCAGAATAATTGTTTAAACAAAGAGGAGCTTGTGCTGACACAATTAACTTGAAGACACTGAGGAGGATTATTTAACTGCTAAGAGACTAACCTGTTCTCAGATGAGCTGACAAAGCACTGAAGACCTTCCAGGAATATCCACCTAGGACCACTGCAACCCTCTACTGCAGCCCTTGTACTTACTGGCTTTGAATAGTTTTGTTGGACATGTAGATTGAGGCTCCTGGTCAGTACAATAAAAAATAAAAATAAATAATAATAAAAACATAAAGAGGTTAATTTTAGGTCCCTTTATGGTAAACAAAAGCACGTGGTTAAGTTTAAGCATGTCAGAAACCTGAACAGTATTTGCAGGACTGGAATCTTACTTTTACTTTCCCATTTCCCAAATGTCTTTCAAGGAGTACAGCAGCTGAACTCAGACAAGGTAGGATAGGGGCTTCCTGGTCTTGTGCCTCTGTTTACAGACATTCCCTTTCTGCAGACAGTTTTTGCTCATCTAGAAAGGGATGTTTTTGTATTAGTGCTAAAATTCCTGTCTTTTCTAACTCAGAAGTGCTGGAAGCCTATTGCGCTGGAGCCTATTGTCTCTGCCAGCTGGGGAATGTACTGTCTCGTGCTCTCAAGGAGTAACAAACGTCTTGCTGCCCTTGCTGAGCAGCCAGCACTGAGGGGCGAGTGCTCTTCCCCGTTTCCTGTCAATAGAGACAGATCTGCCATCTTGTGTCCAACGCAGGGCCAAGGAGAGGCCTGCACATTCAGAGACTACACTGAGGGTAAGAGGCAGATAAATAATGCAATATTGCTATCTTCATCCTCAAGACAAGCATAAAACAAATTCTGTGAGGATAACTGCCTTTAAAACCTTGCTAAAAAAGGCACTTCCTAAAAGCTTTAAACACTGGTTCAACTGAACCCCATTTTGATGCCTTCTTTGCAACTCTTCCTCCCTAAAGTTGTCTGTCTCCAGGTCTCCTGAGCTATGCCCAAGACATCTCCCCCCCGTTCTGACTGTTTTCTTATCTCTATTCATGTGTAGCACTAGTAAAATGGGAGTGCAATAACTAATAGTACACCTAACCAATTTTCGTCTGTATTTTAGCTTGTATGTTTTCAATTATTTTAAAAAATCTAATTTACCTAGAAAATCTTCAAACTCTTGTCACATCAACTGGCAGGAGAAACTGGGCTGCATTCAAACCGCACCGTGACAAAGGGGCTATCTGAATTTGAAGGATAGCCTGCTTGGCCAGGAGTTTGCCAAACTGTCCTGGTTCTTGCAGCATCTGAACAGTGTGTGTAAGTATTGTGCAGTGGGTAGTATCACAACCTGGAAAACAATGAGAAACATAAAAAGGTAGGGAAGTATTAGGCAAGCCCCATGATCATGAATTCATCTCCGTCAGAGTACAAGTATTAGCTACCACGTTGACTAGTTACGGAAACAGTTTTCTTGGAAACCATCCTCACTGGCTCCATTTCTTCTCTGCTTTGCCATCCATTTAGTCTTTTATATCTCTGCAAGGCCATTTTAAGATGCTAATGGAACGGTTGTGCAGCCCTTACTCCATGCAGATTAAGATGATCATCAGAAGCAAGATACTGAGGGTCTAGGTTCACACAGGCCTGGCTATAGCTTACCATGGCAGGCCAGACAAGGAGTGTGGTGTCTTGCTGGGATACTATACAGATCACTCACATCCTGGAAGTCACGATAACCTGATGAAATTCCCAAGGTCCGTCCAAGTTCTTCAATGATACAGACAGTTTGAAGCTTTTTGTTTCCATAGACTGCCTCATCTGTAAAGTTTTCTGGGGCAAATCTTTGTCTCAGTTTAATTTCAAATGGGATCAGGTGCTGAGTTTGAGAAAGTTATGAGTATGGTGTTCCTATGTATCACATAGCTGTCTTCAGGCTGCAAGGCATCAATAAAGAAGAAATAGGCACTAACTACTGCAGCCTAAGAAAACTACTTAAAAAGGGACAGTGGGTCATGAAAGTAATGATTTGGACTGGCCTTTACAGCAAGGCTGATAAGTAGGAAGGGAGGTTGTCACTGACAGAAATACCAGAGTTTGATACTTAACTGAATCAGGTTCTGCACTGGCATCTTTCCATTTTCAGTTATGTTGAATATTTGATAACCTTGCTGGTAAAAGTTAGGGGTGAAAATATTTTTAGTCAGACCCCTATGCAAATGTCTGATCTTGTCAGCTGTCTTTCATGCTGACCCAGAAGCTCAGTTTTAGGGAGACTAACAAAATCAAAGACAAGGAGGGAGAAATGCATGCAAGTTTCATGCAACAAAGCAAACAACACCTCAGTCTTTAATTCTTTTCCTCTTGAGATTCAGTAGTAACCTGGAAAGGCAGGAGGATTCAAAAGTAAATGTTGCCTGCCTGAAATGGCTTGACTGCAAGGACTGGGTTGGCCCCTGTCTGCGGGGGCTCAGCACCTCCTGTGAATTGCCTTGCTGCATGCAGTGGTGGCCACCTGCACAGAAACGTGACCCAGAGAAGCTCACTGCGTAACATGGTAATACAGTAATTCCAGACAGGATAGGAGAGGATGGGAGAGCACCAAATCCCCAGACTCAGAGCCATGTGGCACAGGCCCTAGCCCAAGAAACCATCAATTTCAGTTATGTTGGGCCAAGAGCTGCATTCCCAGATAAACGATGGATGTCCTTAATTGCTGCCTGAAGGAATTCTGGAGGATTTCCAAGTCCTACAACCTCCTGAGAAATTTGTTTGCATTTTCTCCTGTATGTAAATGGACAAGACAGTGATCCAGCGAAACCCAAGTGCTTGTGATTACAGCAGTTGTCCTTTGATTCCCCATCTGGTGAGCAGGAAGTGTCTTCAAAGATCAAACACCAGCCTGAGGACACATTCAAGATTTTTGTTCTCAGAGAAGTTGCTCCCCAGAAATGAAGGGAAAGGAAAATACTACCTGCACATTGTGCTCACAGAGCAGACAGATAACCTCACACATCGCTGTGATGCCATAGCCTCGTGTTTCATCTCATCTCTTTCTTCTTCAAGTTCCCAACAAGACAGTAACGTGTCTTGCCTAAGATCTAAGTACTCATCTCATCGCTACTGGTTCATGTCCATCTGTTTTTAACACTTCGGTTCTTTTTGGTCAAAACTTCAGCTCTCCTCCTGCTTGTCTTCTGGCGCACAACTCCACCACCTCCAAGCACCATGTCTATTCGTGCACACACTCCAAGCTGTCAGGACCCTCTCCTCCACACAGCCTTTAGCCCAAAGGCCTGCATCATGCAACTCTTCACAGTATTTGTGCCAGCAGTCACTGTATCTTCAGCATCGGTGGCTGCTGAAGGCAGCACTGCCTGGGCCCAGGAGCGTTGCTGTCAGTGCCTGGTCAGGATGCAGCAGGAAACGTCTGGCATCCACTCCACGACCATCTGCTAAAACCAGGCCTCCTCTGGCAGCAGTCCAACACAAAGTAAATAGAGTTTCACAGCCAGATTTCAAACTACAAAATAACTGAGAAATATGGCTCGCTGCTCCCAGTTTTCAAATTCAAGACATGGAAGCCCCTAGAAGCAAAAATCTTGTATGGATCCTAAGACCTTGGTTGCCAAATGGGTTCATCACAGTAAACAACAGGGAGAGAGTGTACTGATGTAGCCATTTTGCTCGGCTAATTAGTTCAATTTACGCATTTGCTAATATTTAAGATGGTTTCTTTCTCAAGATCAGTGATGGAGAAAAATTAAATTGTCAAACTGGAGAATTAAGCTTGCAATACATGTTTGGGAAACTGTACAGACAGAAGAGTTCTGAATGTTGCTACTGTATGGTATTTTTCATGGCATAGGAGAGAGAGAAGGACTCAATGAAGTGTGAATGATTTTTTAAAAGAACAGATTGCCATGTATTTTAAAATAGGTCAAGTTTTTGGCCTAGTTTTGTTGAGGGTGCCCCTTAAAGCAACAGGGTTTAATATCCATGATAGTGCCATTGCATTTTTGTTTTTAGCTATGTTTGTGTATAACTGTAGTCTTAAGGCAGAAATGTTCAAGCAGAAGAATACAATGGCAAAGACTGGGTATCTCAAGCAACATTTCTGAACAAGTTACTCTGAACAGTAAAATCCCAGTGGTGGCCACATTTTATCCTTAATGTGTAATGTTAATCTGAAACAAGCAGCTAAGAAAAAACAAACTATAAATGAAGGCGATGACCAATAAAGCCAACACCTGCACACCTGACTCCTGTCAAACTTGACCTATTAACTCCCTGGAGTCCTGGGAGTACCACTACTTGCTTTCCATCTTTAAATTGATTAAATCAATTGATTATTTTTATTTAAGTAGAAACAGAAATGCAATAATGGCACTTAGATTGAGGATGCACAAGATAGTACTTAAATGAACAAAGTATGGCTACATATGTTGAAAGAAGATAGATTACAATGGTCAGTTGTCAAAGCAATGTGTACATTTAGAGTCTAAAAATGGGCATTCAAGATGTTTAAAAAGGTAGGAAATTCTGCATGCAACATTAATTAATGTAGAATAAATACCATTTGTCTTCTACGTATGTAGCAGTCTGGTACCTATATTTATGGATGCACCTTTGCTCTGAGAATATAGGTACAATGCACGCATATATAATGGCATTACATAGACTTAATTACTCAACGTAATACTCACAGCAGTAATTGAAGTTGGCTTTAGCGCAGCCATATGGAGTAAGACATGACATGAGTAGGATTTTCTCCATCCCAGAGCTCTGGAAAAAGACCAAGTACAAATCAAGACTGGTTGTGCTTGGGAAGTACACAGACAGGACTTGTCACTCTACCTACTCTCCCCTGAGGCAGAGGTGGGAGCTCAGTGCATCGTTATTAAGATAGAGGTTCTTCACCCCACTGGGTTGATCCATAAGGGATAGTGCCCTTCAGGCACAATCCATCTAGAATGTACCTTCTTGTGGTGAAACGCTGCACTGACCCAATGCACAGCAGTAATAAACACTAGTTGGCTCACGGTGTTGTACAGTAATAAACATACTGAAGAGCTTGTCACTGCATGCTTCAGGGAAGAAGTACTATCTGGAACAACAAGGTCTACACATACGCTTGGTATACAAATCTTTTGCAAGCTGTGGACTTCATTATGAAAACTGTTCATGATTCCAGTTAAGCTGTGATTAAAGGCAAGGCAAAAGCTTCCCAAGCATTCATCACACTATAATTTGGAAAGACTTTAATCATAGAATCATAGAACCATTTAGGTTCAAGATCTTTAAGTCCAACCATTAGCCTGACCTACTAAGTCTCAATGCTAAACCATGTCACTTAGTGCCATGTCCACACACCTCTTAAACATCTCCACTTTCTTAGGCAGACTGTTCCAACACTTGATCACCCTCTCTGTGAACAATTCTTCTTGATCTAAAACTCCCTTGGCACAACTTGAGACCACTTCCTCATGTCCTATCACTTAACAATGAAGACTGTTTTGAGAATACCTTTGCTTTAAGGATAGTCGTTGTAGTCACCGCTATGGACTAGAACCTTTGTTTTGTACCTGATCCTAATCTGCATCCTCTGCAGATGAACCAGTGTGAACTGCTACACATGTGGCTTTCTGTGAATGGTTTGTGCCATAAAAAGGCACATGAAGAAGAAAGAGGATATTTCTCTTTGCAGAATACCACACAGTGCAGGGAAAGTCATTCAGAGAGCTCCCAGGGATACTGATTTGTGAACAGTTCTTTTTCACATGTGAACTCCCACTACTTCCTGCAAGACAAGAATATTGTGGACACAGATCCGGGTTGAGTTTTCGCACTGATGATTCCTTCCAACACTGCTCATAGATCAAAATCACTTTCACTACATAATAGACGACAAATTCTTCCAATAGTAACTCTATTAACTTTCTGTCTGCTACAATCTAAATAATTAGCAGAGATGCTAGGCAGATTTGTGCTGCCTGTGGTAAGTAGCAACAAAACGTTAGTAACTCTGCAATGATCCCATCTCTAATAGCTGACAAAGTCTCATTTTGCAAATAATCCCACTGAAAAGTCTTCCTCAGCATAAATTAAAAATGCAGTATTACTCAGTGAGGACTTGAGGACTAATAATCTGAATCAAGTTGGGAAAAAATAGTCATGTTATCTACTTGGATTGAATGTGTTTATAAACTTCACAGGGAGTTCTCCTCACCAGCATAGAGCTCAATGGAGTATGCACATTATTTTTTCTTATCAGGGTGCAATGTAAGAAATGAGAGACTGTTTAATTCTGTTTATGACATTATACAGAGGTCTAGATTCTTAATGCCTTCACCTACTTTTGCAGAAAGTTCACACTATGTGATCCTGAAGTCAGCAACACATCCAGATTTCAGGTGGAAGAAAACTCTGAGTAGAATACCTGTTATAGGGAACACACAGGATAATTACACTGCATGCTGATGTAAAATGACTGGCTCATCTACCTGAAGGACAGGATCGTATTCTGTTGGACTAAAATAATCTTCTGTGGGATTGGAGACAAGAAAATTGAAAAGAAAATGTTGCTCATAATTCATCTGGCTGAACTCACACTTATCCTTCCTAGGCAATGGGTTTACCTCAGAGTCAAAATCAAGGTATCAGAAAGGTACCACTGAGATGGGGATGAAGCCAGATAGCTTTTGAGGGAACCCAGTCCATGAGCAGATAATTTGTGAATGGAGGTGGGAGGGGAGGCATGGGCTCCCATGTCAGATGAGTGTGGCAGGGAATGAGTCAGCAGCGGTGGTCACAGACTTCTCGGTACTCACAATCTTTGTGGTCGTAACCAATGTGTTTGGGTTGGATCCTCAACCTAGCAAAAAAATCAATAGCAAATCAGTTTAGATAGGAGAAGAATGGCATCCTTTATCAAGATGCTTTATCAATGTCTTAACAGTTTATTGCCAAAACTTCTAATTAGTTTAACAGTTACAATGTCACTGCTCTTACAAATCAATACCACATACAGCCAAGAAACAGCCGTTCTCAGACTCTCAGGCTTCTAACATTTCTCTAACAATTCAAAAGAAAAATAGACCAAAGTATAAACATCAATATGAGAGAGGACTTCATGTCCTCTGTTATTTTTAAAGTGAACCCAAGAGACGGCTGATATATTTAAATAGCTTTTTAATTAACGTTATGTGTGAAATTATAGAAATTCAGATAAAAGCTCCCAGTTTACAACTGATATAATTTGAGCATAGGAGCAAAGTGTGGGGATTAAAGTGGATAAAATCATGGATTTTACTCTTTGGGATAGCACTCAGAGATTTTCAGCAGTTTTAATCTGAATAAGCTCTACGGGAGCAGCTCAGTTTACAAACCAGTGCATTTCAGATCTGGGTGTTTTATTACCACCACCATTACAAACAAAAAGGAGAAAATAAATAAATCAGGTCACCTTGCTAACTTAATTTTCCTGCGGCAGATCATTTTCTTTCCTTTAGGAAGTAAGGAATAGAGATCTCTTTCAACATCAGTAAGACAGGGATCAGGGGCAGCTTTCCCTCTGCTCTTCGTTTTCACTTTAACCTGCAGAATGAGTTGATCACATTCTGTTAATTAAAATTTCCCATGTTAGGCAGCTTTGTTTGGTTGAGGTTTGTTTACTTCTGCTTTCAGGTTTTAACAAAGTCCTCTCCCTAAATTCTGGCAGAACTCAAGCTGAGGAATCCAACCGTTTAAGCCAAGTTTAAGATACTGCCATTTACACAGTCCTGTGAGGGCCAGATAGCTAAATGTGATATCAGCCCAGGACCGATCCTTTTCTCAGATACAGGCTGTGTTTTATCCACATTCAGGAGGTAGGTTGGCCAGAAATAATGTCTAGTCCTTTTATTAACATAGCAGGCACCCAACTTAGAGCTGTGCCTATTTAGGCTTCTAAAAACAGTTTGCACTGAATATGCCCTCTGGCTTCCTGGCAAGGCTGCTCCCATACCAGTAACTTGATCTATGCACTCATGGTCACCATAACACCAGCCAAGCACATGGAAATAAGAGCATCTTTAGAAAATACCTCAATGGGTTAAAACAGCAGGGCACAGCTACCAAAGCAATGTTTGAGATTCCTCACTCTGCAATGCAGGGAGAGGGGCTTGGTACCTTCTGGCTGTTTGCAACTTGATGAGAAAATGGATGATTGTGCAATTGGCAACTTCTTGCACAAAAAATCTTTCCAGAATTACAGCAACTGACTAGTTTGACTTTGAGTTGCTTTATTCTTCCGGCACTGAGGTAGGGGAGGGGGCAGAACGGTATCAGTTCAGCTGAAGGCACGCAGAGCAGTTAACTAGATGCTACAGGCCCAAATTCTGCCCTATTTGTGCTGCTGCAGCTTATAGCGTATGATATAGTGGCACAACCATCTCTGAGGACAAACACCATCAAAGCAGAGATACAGAGCTTCGTTACTACCAATCTGTTAAAAAGGAAACAAAATACTGTAAAAGGCTTGGTAGATAGTTAGAAAATATGATGTTTTATATTTTGTTCACAATGTACTTAATCTCAAATGTCATATGCAGACAGAAAATAGTGATGTGACATTTAAACATACCAGATCCACCCCACTATCAGATATTTTCTTTTTTTTTGTTCTAAACTTTTTTTTTTTGAAGGATTGCTTTAACAGAAAGTTTTATACTCATAGTATTTAGTCACTATTTGTAGAAAAACATTGCTCTGCTATACAAATTCCCTCCCTTTAGTTCTGAAAGCATAGGCAAGTTAAAGAATAATCATAGGTTAGTCATAAAAACAATATGTCAATATTTACAAGATGTTCTTTCATGTCTTGGTCTTTCTTTGCTAGTCTGATGCTTCAACTTAGTCCAGTATGCATCATCAAGCTCTGGATCTAATAACTTGGGAAGATGATATTTTAAGATGCATTTGCGTTAGCACGTGAAAATCTAAATGGAGTAAGAAAAAGTGTCCTTAGCATGGTTCAAAGTAATTGCTGAAAGAGGGATCAGGATATAATAGGGTAGAAAAAAAAAACCCTATGTGTAGCAACAAGGCCTGTGGGTACATCTGCAACTTCCTTAGACTCTGATTGTAAAATTTAAGATCGTTTTGAATTTCTGTTCAAATAAAGATGCAGTTATGACATAAGAATATCAGAGCTATTTTTAAATCTGCTCATCTATGGTTTTGACACCACTTTTTAGGGGTCTAAGGAAATTATTTTCAGGAAAGAATTGGGGCTTGAAAACTCCCAACCACTGTTTCAACTTGGACAACAACTGGTGTCCCAGGCACTGTCAGGAAGAAAGAGCAGTTTAAGAGCTATCGGGTTGCTTTTCCATCTTACTGGCTTTACAGTTCCATAGTTCTGACTTACTGGGGATGCAACTTGGATATCGATAGATATTTGAGAATAAATACTTCTCACCAGAAGTCGGGGCTTTCTCTTTAGCGCAACAGGAGAAGTCCCACTGCTTTACCAGGGGCAGCAGATGGGTGAGGCGAGTGAATGGTCTGTTAGTTTCTTTTTCGTTGCAAGTACGTAAGCACTGCTGCATCTGAAACCCAATTACTATAGCATTTACAGCAAAGAATAACTCACAGCAAGTATGAAACCAAAAGTATTGCCACATATATGCGGTGTATTTCTCTCTTTCTCTCTCTCTTTTTTTTTTTTTTTTTTTGCCATAGTTTTAGCAAACCTGAAGTCTGGGGACTAAGCAAAGTATTGTATCTTCAACAGCTTTATCACAAGCGATTACATGAGCATCCTCTCTCTCTTTTCACATTTAAAACCCCTTTTAAGATTTTTAAAGTTTTTAGGACTGCCAATATTGTATGGTCAGAGAAGGTATCTGAAACACAGCACAATGGTTTCAGGAGGAGCATACCTGAATTCACCCAGTGAACTTGCATCTGAATCCTCCAGCCTGGGGAGCAATAGTATGACTCAGGGCATCCCAAATCTCACAAAGGGTTCCATTTAGTTTGCTTTTTTTGAATTTCTCAGACACTTATGGACAATCTTAGCATCAAAGTATGGCCAGGTGCGCACAAGCCGCTTCCCAAAAGATCTGTCCTTAAGGTTAATAATGTACTTTTCACATTTACAACAGAATTGCTAGGCACAGCACACTGCATGCACTGCCCTGTCCTGCTGTTTGCCTCAGTTCAGATGCTCTCCTCTGGTAAAAACAGCAGCGTTAAAATTTTCTCCACAGTGACACTTCCCTCCCCAAAATCTCCCACATAAGTAAGCATTCTTACTCCTGCAGCTCCACCAATGCTAGCAAGTGTGGGAGGTCTGGCATTTTTGGTACAAGCGTATTTGGACTCTCTCAACAATGTCTGCTCTGCTCCCTTGAATACATTTGCAATTAATCAGAGGAACCTACTACAAAGGGTGGTCTACTGCGAAAGGTAGCCAGTGCGCTTGGACTTCAATATACCCTTATTTCATTCAGATAATGATGCTTTCCCTCCTCCTGGACTCCCTTGTTTCCTAGGAACTGCTGAATGAGAAAAAGTAGAAGTTCTGTCTGAGGAAACTGAAAACAATAAAAGCTCTCCAATCTGTTTATTCAAAGTGCTATAAAAGAGCCAGGCTCTGTATTATTATATTGTAAAATATAGTGTAGCAAAACATTATTAAAATTGAAGCAGTTGAGTTCATTTTCAAATAGATGATCTGTGGAGATGAACATTCTTCAGATTACCTGCACTACTACAGGGAAGGAACATTTTACATTGATTTTCGCAAAAACATTGTATGATCTTATATAGTATGTAGTCAAATAGCTGGAATCCATTAAAACCATGCTCCAGCTGTGCAATCACAGTCCTCACAAAGATACTTTTTTTTTTTTTTTTTTTTTATGTGGTTAATGCCAGGAAGAATCCACAGCTTCAATTATGAGATCATCAAAATATGTTGTTTATTGCATAAAAAAGCATTTGCGGCAATTTAAAATATCCAGTCAACACCACGCTGCTAAATCTAGATAATAGAAATCCTGGAAAAATTTGAGCTAACTCTGTCTGGATTATAGCTGTGGGATTATCTGAATGCTAAATTACTGTATATGTTTTACTCACAAACATGAGCACAGACAGTATAGGAAGATGGATGACTATGCAGATCACAATAAAATCCATCCCAAGAGACTTTTTAATACACTAGGTAAACAACCCCTCTCAATTTATCAAGCACTCTGGATTGAATTAATGCTGTCATTTACTTTGCTGTTGCTGTGTAGAGGAATATGGTTTAACTTGAACAGCTCCTTTAGCAGCAGAAAAATAACAAAGGTTTTCTCTGTGCATTCTTCATAACACACAGTGCAGAAATATTGACTTCTGCATTTGTATAACTGAATTAAAGAAAATACAACTGTAGTTTAGTGCATAATTAGAAAACCAAATTATACGCAATATTTAGAGAAAAAATCAACTCTGTCTGTCTTATTAAACCTTCCCCTCCCCTCCCCCGTTGTTTACACACCAGAATTTCTGGCTTTCTAAGGACATACAGTGAATGAACCTGGATTGACCTGACACATAGCATCTCTCAAAATTTCCCCTTGAATGATTCACAGATGTGTGAGCTGCGACCAAAAAAAGCAAAGAGAAAAAGTGCAGGGTACTGCACAGGCTGAGTGAATTTGAAAGAGGTGATATTGTCTGAATGTGCCATGCCTGAGTCTCTTTTACTGCAAGTGCACCGCTAGGGATTACAAATACACATTCCTTTGGTTGCCAGTTTAGCTCAGTTTGACAACTGCAAGTGAAATTACCTTCAGTTATGGTCATGCAGGGATTATTCTAATTCCTGTAACTCTACTTGTGTGCATTAGTCCTTTTACTGCTCGCTAGTGCTTTTTTTGGTATTTTGTGTGGCTATACTGCATGTTCAAGCACCACACAGTTACACGGCACAGTCGGGATAGGCTTTCCTGGGGAAGAAGGCTAGACAGTAATTTCTGCTCCCTGTGAACAGATATCAGATGACATAGAAATAGTCACTTTCATTTCCTTCTTTCACATTCAAATCAGGTATGTAGCTCTGTAAACAGATTAAATGCAATTTTGGATCCTGTGAAACTGTCAGTGTAATCCTTTGGTCAAAGTACGAACAAATAAGAGAATAGGCCTTAGCCAGAGAGTTCAGCCACATCCGGCTTTTAAGATCCAACATTTTCAGCAGTTATCAAATATAGAAAGAGCACCAAAATGTTGCTTTTCTGCTGAGGAGAGGCTATCCTGAATACATGCCATTGACATTTGGGCATGATAGCTGTTACTCTCAAACAGTGCTTATGTGGGAACAGATTTGCATTGTCAGCCTTCTTTGGTGTTTCACAAGGAAATGTGGGTTCTGCTCTTCAGCTGTTCTCCCTCAACCAAAGGAGTCATTTCTTACAATTTCTCCCACTACTCTACCTGCTTTTGTGATGAATGTCTGGGTACTAGCTGACCTAAAACACAAAACCTTTCACATGAACTGTCTCCAGAGTAGTGGTCTCAGGGAGCTGAACCAGCAGCAGTAACACCGAGGTATTTTCAGA